GGCAGTTGAAAATTGTCACATGGCATTGAATGGAAGAGCATAAAAGCGAGGCATTTGGTAGTCACCTCGGAGGCTCTACCCTATCAAGCCGAGCAAGACAATGGCGGAAGACAAGGATAAGGAACAAAAGAAGAAGGTGAACAAGGAGTCGGAGAAAAAAGAGAGGGAAAGGCAATTATTTGAGAACATTCTCAAAATAGTTCAAGCAGTATGTCCATCGTACGTAGAGTGTACGGATGGTTGCAAGAAAGAAAAGGAGGGTGGTAGGAAAGAAGAGAAGAAAAAGAAGACGGATGAAAAGAAGGAAGCGAGAAAGGGAAATGTTGCCAGTGATAAAGAGGAGGATTTGTTTGAGAATATCCTAAAATTAGTGAAAGAGGCGTGTCCATCGTATTTGGGATGCATGGAACAATGCAAAGAGGAACAAGATGAGATTGAAAGTGATTATGAGGATGAGGCGGAGAATAGGAAGAAAGAGGAGAAAAAGGAGGAAAAGAAGAAAAAGAAGGAGAAAGAGAAGGAGGAGAAGGAGAAGGAAAAGAAGAAAAAGAAGAAATAAGACTTAAATGGAGTGGCTCAAAGTCTCTGAGGCAATAGGATGTTACTAAAAGGGCAAGTCGAGAAGGGTTGGAGGGGTGCGACAAAGTGAGGCAAAGGAAGAAATGGAGTAAACAAGGAATGCACATTTTCCCACCCACATCTGTACACCTCCTTCACTAACCATTTTTCTTGGGCTCTTTAAGAGTCCCAGTGTGTCCGACCCCCCATTTTTGCCTGGTAGATGCATAATTTTTAATAAATTCACCTTCGTTTTGCATGCTTTTTAAGTAAATGTTGCATCTCACTCTCCCTCCCCCAATAGGAGGTGCGGTTGGCATTTGATGAGTGGTATGAGTGAATAGTGGCGAGTGCTTAGGAGGGGAGGTTGATGTGAAGGAGGTGGAGGATAGAAGGTGGAATGGAAGGGTTAGTTACAATGAGACGTGATGTCCGTGGCGCTACACAGCATGAGCGTGGAGAAGGCTTCTGCTCAGAGGATACAGAGGAGGAGTTGAGGATGACCA